GCTGGAATGTCTATGGATTCTGGCTGCTGGGGGAACTAGTTCTGCATGGTGTTCTATTGTTGCTGGGATTTCTGTTGTGGCTGGTGAGGTTGCTAGAATGTATCTCCTGTTCAGGTAGGGGGTCTATTGTTGCTGGCTGCTTGAGATTCTTTTGATTCCAGCTGCTGGGGGATCTGTTGTTGCTGCTGTGGGTCTATTGTTACTGGGGTGATATTTTGTTGCCATTGTTGCTTTCGGGGGGGGGGGGGGGGGGGGGGGGGGTCTATTGCTTCTGGCTGGGGGGATCTATCTTACTGCTTTTCTTGTGATCATTAACAAATTCCATAGAAATGACTTAGCACCACAAAATTATACTTGGCTGTGAATTCTCTATAAGGAGTAATACTGGGAGGTCAGCAAGGGGTGGAACTAAAACTGTGCTTGGAGATGATTATAGGGGGCAGAGACAAGAAGTGATTATTCAGAAGGGGGGAGTTCCTGCACCTGTTCTCTGAGGAAAAAAAAGAGCCCTGGTACCTATACAGTGATACCACTGCCTGCTACTTATCCCTGTATATTTACTTTTCAATGGTTTTTATTGAATAGATTTACAAAGGAAAAATGACATAAGTAAAATAAGCAATATCAATGAAGAATGTTCCATCGTATACACAGATCGAAACACCAAATTCTGCCACAACAATTGGCAGTGAAGACAAGACATAAATTGCGGCCAATACATGGTCAAGCATATCTCGTCTTGCCATCATAAAATATACAATACAGAGCAATACAAAAAGAATAAAAAGAGCAGAAAGGAAGATCCAGATGAGGGTCATTAAGGTACAGAGAGGTATTGGATCCACGGGTTCCATGTGTTATCAAATTTCTTCGAGTTACTGTGTAAGATACAGGTTAGTTTGTTGTTAATCATGATCCAGTTGAGTTTCTTTTTAACATAATCAAGGAAAGGGACTGATTGCCGCCAGTATCTAGCTATAATAATCCTCGCAGCTAGAAACATTTAGGAAATCAATTTATGGGATTTCTTGAGAACAGTATCTGGAGATTTGTGAAAGAGCACCCGTCTCCGGGGATCTGCGAATATTTTATACCCATCACTGAGTTTACCAAATTGAACATTTGAATCCAAAAATCTAGTTACAAGCGGGCATTGCCACAAAATGTGAAAGATAGACCCAACCTGGCCACAACGCCGGGAACATATCGTAGAGGCAGTCAGATGCATCTTTGCAATCTGGGTAGGTACCAGATACCATCTCAACAAAGTTTTATAATTAGCTTCAATTAAAGCAGTATTGATAAAAACTTTGGACAGTGCCAAGGCGATATCTTGCCAATCCAATAATTCATAATTGACAGCTAAATCTTTTTCCCAATGTTCCATGTGAGAGAGTTTACAATTTAAGTCAGTGAGGAGAGCATATATTGTAGAGACCCGGCCTCTTGAGGAATCCCTATTCCTGCCGGAGCGTTCAAAGGTGGTGAGCAAAGGAAAATCGTCCACTAAAGCGAGCTTCGAGCGGAGAAATTTAGATAATCTGGTTGTATCTAAAGATTTCAGTAGTAGGCATATGTAATTTGCCTTTAAAATACTGCAGAGAATGTATACAAGCACCATTAAGATACTCTACTATCCACAACAAGCCCTTATTGATCCACCATTGAAAAGGGGCTGGTGTTAAACCGGGCACAAATTCAGGGTTGCAAAAAATCAAAGCAATAGGTGTATGGGGTGACGCTAGTGACTTTCGGTGATGTACCCTGTCCCAAACTGCCAAGGAGAACGACAAACTGAGGCACAATATAGGAGGACTTAATCGACTAGGAAGCCAGAGTACCACCCAATAGCCAAAGGGTGACATGAAAGAGCTTCTACAGAAACCCAGTGGGGAGTATGTCCGTGGTATAAGCTATCTGAGCAGCTTGGAAGTACACATGGAGATTAGGAAGGCCAATACCACCCTGCAATCTAGAGGCATATAACATCTTCTGGTTCATCTGAAGTCATCTATTATTCCAAATAAAATGAGGAACCTCAGCTTGTAGAAGCCGTAAGTTTCATTGTGGGAAATCGCTATCGATAAGGTCAGGAAGTAATATAGTAATCAGGGTAAAACCGTCATTTTGATGGAGTTGACTCTACCAAACCAGGACAAGGAATAGTCAGCCCAACGATGGAGATCGTCCCTAAGTGTTTTAAAGAGGGGAGGGTAATTAGCCTGATAAAGTGTCTCGATGGAAGTGGTAAGGTGTATTCCTAAGTAGGGTAAAGATTTATTCGCCCACTGAAAATTGTATTAAGTTCTAAGCTGCAGTTCATCAGATATGAGTAAGGAAACATTAAGGGCAGTTGTTTTTTGGGGATTAAGGGAAAGTCTGGAAAGAGCAGCAAATTGGCGTAATAATGATAGTAAATTTGGAATAGTTATCGAAGGAGAAGTAATGTACATAACAACATCATAGGCAAATAGGGCACATTTATGTTCCTGTTGGCCGCAATGGATGCCATGGATTTGGGGATGAGACCGAATTGCCATAGCCAAAGGTTCAATTGCTAGTGCAAAAAGCAGCAGGGAAAGTGGACAGCCCTGTCTAGTCCCTCTGCGGATAGGGAACACCAAGGATTTGTAGCCTTTGATGGAAACCTGGGCCGAGGGATTAGCATATAGCGAATGTAACAGAGCAAGAAATGTCGGACCAAAGCCAAATGCCTGCAAAGTAGTAAATAAATATTCCCACGTAAGACTATCGAAGGCCTTATGAAGGTCCAGAGAAAGAAGTAAGAGTGCCGTAGAGAGAGGAGCATCCCAATTGGAACTGGCAGCCGATGCTAGGGTAATAGATCTACGAATCTGGTCCAGCGTTTGACGATCCGATATAAATCCCAACTGATCTTTATGACTATATTGTGCCAGAAAGGAATTAAGACGCACAGCTAGGAGTTTCTTTAAAATATTCAGATCACAATTAATGAAATAGGACAATAATTGTGAACATCACTGGAATCTTTATTGGGTTTAGGAATGACACTAATATATGCCTTCTTCTCATCTAAAGGGACCACACCTTCCTCTCGCAACGAATTAAAGTACAGTGTCATATGAGGAAGTAAATGTTCACAAAAAGTTTTGTAATACTGATTGGGGACGCTGTCGGGGCCTGGGGATTTATGCAATGGTAATAATTTAATAACTTTTAGGAGCTCCTCAGAGGGAATGAGTTGTTCCATAAGCTCTTTATGAGCTTCAGTAAGGGAAGGGATAGGCAAGGACTCTACAAAGGATCTAATAGAAGAGGGTGCTGTTGGCCGCGGTGGACCATATAGAGAAGCATAAAAATCATGAAATTCCCGAAGGATCTTTTGAGGATCCTGCGTGATAGTACATCCCTGTATATTTAAAGCTGAAGTTCAATCTGTTTATATTTTCTCTTCACTGGTTCCACATATCCCCTTCATTTACATGCTAATGACATATTTAAATAAAACCTATTTCCATTAAAACCCTATTTTTGGTCCAGTGATATCATCCCTGGATCTCTATGCTTCTCTATGCAATGCAGACATATCATGGCTGGTGGGAGGGAGTGCTGTATATAGCTTTCTGAAAACACCACAACACCCTGCCTCAACACTCCTCTCAAAAATTCTAAACCCTGATGCAAGCAATATGCTGGCCCTTGGGAGATGTTATGTGAATATCAAAATGCCTTGATAGGTGAATATCAGTCCATATGAGTGGGAGTTCCTAGGAAGACTGAATTTACATGCAGACTTTCCTAGGTAACACCCATATGTGATGCTGAGCCCCCATGATTAAACGAACTGAAATTCAATGACTGAAACAGGCAGGCAAGGGACAGTAAAGCTGTTAAAGTGTTACTAAACCCAGGAACCTGCATTCACTATATCTGGTCTCCCACAATACACTGAACATGGAAGTGCAATTATTTTAGTAAATATAAACTGCTAAATACCTTTTCTCAGCAGCATTAGAGAAGTCTTGTGACTTCTATCAGTGTCCAGCAGAGCACTGGTTAAAGCTTGTAGGATGAGTTTTATTTCTGTCATAGGAGGATGAAAAATCCCTGACCTCTGTGTGGACAGCACTGATTGGCCCTATGCTGACCACATGCACTCTCCCAAGAAAAAAAAAACAACTTTCTAGCAGTACACACTAAACTGAGCATGTGCAGGGTATCTCCACACGATATGTCTTATCAGGAGATAAGAGGGAGACACTGGAAGAAGAGGAGGATCAGAGGATTCAGGGTCATACAGCCTTTTTAAACAATGCAGAGGATTAACCCCTTAGGTCCCACAGTGAGTATGACAAGCATGCTTTACTACATATACAGACTGACTGTTGTGGGTTTAGTAACACACTTAAGGAAGGGGCTAGATGGTGCTGGAAAATAAGATGGGATTTATCTGACATGCTTGAGCTTCTAGTGCACATTGTGAGAAACTGAACGTGTGCAGAGTAAGCAATTTCAGCACAGGAGGGGAGTCAACACAACTGTTCAAGACTAAAGGTAAGGCTGGAGTTCAGCTTCAAAGCATTTCCAGTTGTCACAGAGGCTTTGTAGTTAGCACTTCTACCTTGAAGCACTAGGGTCCCTGGTTTATATTCTAGTCAGGGCACTACCTGCCTGGAGTTTGCATGTCCTCCCTGTGCCTGTGTGGGTTTCCTCCGGGTACCCTGGTTTTCTCCCACACTCCAAAGCCAGCCGGTAGGTTAACAGGCTCCTGTATATGTTGGCCCTAGTATATGATTGTAAGCTCCTTGAGGGTACAGATTGATATGATTGTAAAGCATTGTGCAAACTGTCAGCTCAATATAAATAAATAATAAATCACATTTCTTTTAATAGTTCTCCAGCGATCACACGCTGTACTTGAGCAAATTCTGGAATACAACTGTATGAAGGAGGTTTATTGGCACTGGACTAGGTGGAAGGACACAATAGCTGTGATGGCACTTACAAAGGAGCAAGTCCTACTGATTATCAGAAACATAAAGAAAGGCATCAATAAGATCACCAGTTCTCCTAAGTGCTTTTATAGCTACATTCCTCTCCACGGACAGCTGTGCCATCAATACCTCAATGTCCCTGACATCCAATCCAGTTTCATCTTCAGCCTCCTCACCGAAAGCCTGAAAGATGGCCCCATCTACAACATACGATGAAATATTCTCTTTTGTTATTAGTTTTCCTCTGGAGATCAGTCTTATCTTTTCTGGGGGAGTTTTTAGATGCTGGCACAGGAACAGAAACATTTCTTCCCCACTTTCACATTTTGGCACTCTGACTTCTGATTTTCCATGTTTGTTTTTCATTTTTATCACAAAGTGATTAGCCTGTTCTTGCTTCTCTGAATTATTTCTATCATCTTTATCAATGCCTTCTGGAAGATGAGCTCTCTCTTTTGTTTCTGGAACCTCTGAACATTGGAGCTTATGTGTAAGCCAGTGTTTTTCTTGGCAATCTTTGGAGCTGTGCACAAAAGAGTAAAAGACTCAATTAAATTATTAATACATGAAATAAAGAACTATTTCTTATGCAATGACATTTTTAAAGTGTATTTCTACCTTATGAAGCCAAGTTGGGATTACACCAGCTTTAAATGTTACAGGTACCTATTCACACAGCATTATATTAAATCATATTCAATTATAACATTCAAAGTAGTTGTAAAGGCAGAAGGGTTTTTTTACCTGCATTAAAGTGATTTTAAAGGTTGTAATTAAAAAATAAAAGTAAACATGTTATACTTACCTGCTCTGTGTGGTGTTTTTGCACAGAGCAGCCCCAACCCTCTTCTTTTTGGGCCCCCCTGGCTCCTCCCCCCAGCCAAGTACTTGAGCAGGGGCACTCGAGCAGGCTCGCTCCTGAGCCACGCTCCTGTGAATGGATATTGTCCATTCATACACAGAGTGCTGCTCCCCCCCCACTTCCTCCTAATTGGCTCACTGGCTGTGATTGATAGCAGCAGGAGCCATTGGTACCTGCTGCTGTGTGAACCAATGAGGAAAGAGACCCAGGAGAGCTGTGGCTCTCATGAACATCGCTGGATTGAGATGAAGATCAGGTAAGTATAAGGGGGACGCTGATGCAGAAGCTGCACCAAGAAGGTTTACATCCTTCAATATACATCCTTTTTTCCCCAAAATTGAGCTTTCTTTCGTGGTATTTGATCGCCTGTGCATTTTTTTTTTTTGCGCTATAAAAAAAAAAAAAAAGACCAACCAATGGCAGAATATATACTGGAATTTTTATTTTATGGCAGGACTGCGGCGGGCATTCTGACACTGGCGGGAACTGACTTGGTGTCACTGACATCCCCAGTAACACCAATACAGTGATCAGTGCTAAAAAAAAGTACTGACACTGTACTAATGGCACTGGGCAGGAAGAAGTTAACATGAGGGGTGATCAAAGGGTTAACTGTGTGCTGGGAGTGTTTTACTAAGGGGCGGTGTGTTGGTGCTTCACTCGTAAGCACAGCACAGCCATCCAGAGCAGTGTGCCCGAGCCGACAGGGAGGAGGATTGTTCGTAAACAAAGCAGCCCTCCTCCCTGTCGGAGATCCTCGGTATTCACCGGGCACCAGCGGGTAATCACCGGCCGAGACCCGATGATTGATAGCCACAAATGGAGGCGCGGGTAGGGCGCGTTTTCCCCCAACCCGGAAATACAAAATCATATATATATATATGTGTGATTTTGCGCACCTCTGCCGCCCTGTAGCAGTATTTCTGCTTTAGGGTGGCGGGGAAGCGTTTAAAGTTATATGAGCTTTAAGTATATTAAGAGGAATTAACACCAACAACAAAAATGGTTCTAATGCAGTTAACCAATCCTTAGATGCATTCTTTTTCTTTGTTGATCCGGTCAGTAAGTCTGTTATTTTTCAACTTCCTTTAACAATCCAAGCTGTCCAGCCAAAAGGAAAGCTTTTTTGTTCATGTAGAACCTTTATCTCATTAGAAGAAAAAAAAACAGTCGCTAGGTTCCCACTATTGCGGGTGCAGGAATTGCAACTGCAACCACCTGCAGCCAAATTGCATTGCTCTGCAGAGAAGTGCGGGGCTGCTATTTATTCTTATAGGCAGCCCCATGTATCTCAACCTGCAGCGTGTTTGCAGGTGCAGAAACTACAGGAAAATTGCATGGTGCAAGAGCAACATGTGATTTCCCAGCAACTGCATTTATGGTGCAGGCACTTTTATTTTGTGAAATGCAGACACAGCAGCCCATGCCTGCACAAATGTGGGCTGCAAACCAGCTCAAGTGTGAACCTAGGATAAAAAAGCGTTACCGGAGTTTTCATTTCTTAGGTAAGCTGAGGCTAGTGCATCTAACACTACCCTGTCTACAGACTGACATTTCTGTTGTCCAAAGGTGTCTCCATTACTCCTCTATCCTGAGTGGAGACAACCTAATACAAGCGGCATGTTTTCTGGACGGATCACCAGGTAAAGTAAAAAAAAAAAAAACTAAAAAAGAAAGCTAATGCAACTGTCACATTTAGGCCTCGTTCACAACACACGTGCAGAAAACTGATGGAAACTGACGCGTAGATTTCACTTGCAGGGACATCAGTTTTCATGTGGTCTGCAATGAATTTTATACACGTTGCAGATTCCTGCACAAAAATGGTGTGAACAGGGCACATAGAGAGCAATTGATTTCACTGTGCCCTTGCAGAACACATGGAGCAAAATGTCTCTTCACCATGGTTTGAATGAGGTCTTAACCTCCCTGGAGGTATTCCCGAGTGTAGATCGGGGTAAAGTTTCAGTACCAAAGCAGTAACCTCGAGCTACACTCGGGCTTACCATGCGGAGCTGCTCCGGGATCTGTTCTTCTCTCACCTTGTCCTGCGCTCCCGCGATATCCCTCCTGCAGTGTCCCCTGTAATGTCCTCCAGCGGATGCCGGCATCTGTCTTCTGGGTTCCGTCCCCTGCGAGCGTCAGGACGTACGGGGGATGGATCGGCGGGAAATTTGAAAGTGACATTCACTAAATTCACATTGTAAAACATTACTGTATCAAACCATTTCACATACATTTTGTCCCGAGTGCTTTGTCCTGTGCCCTGCCTGCATTTTTACTGTTCTTTCTGCCTGGAAACTGAGAAATGTCCATGGTGTCCAAAAAGTGTCCCTTTAGGTCAAAAGCGGTTTTAGATCGGCTAGAGAACAGCGATAGTAAATTAGAACCACTTGCAGAATTGAGTGATAATGATTCGTGGGGGAAATTCGTCATCAGACACTGAAAACGATTTTACGACTTTGCTCAGTGATGTGCGAACTTGGCGCTATATTTCAAAATTCAGTGTTTTTGGTTTGATATTATTAAATTAAATTTATTATTATATTTTTTTTTATGATTATTTATTAAATTATAATTTATGATTTCGGGTTTCAAATTTTAACATACCCGGGATGTTTACTAGACTTTTGTTCGGAAAGATTTCAGTGAGTTATTCCTAAAAATTACAGACTTACAATAAAAAAAAAATACATATTTCCATGCAAACAAATATACCGCTTTGAGCACAGAAATATGGACATAATCAGACCGCTAGGGAGGTTAAAGGATAAGTTCACCTTTTTTTAATGTATTACGAATGGATCTGCCCCTGCTCCTTCCCGCTCCCCATTGTGACAGCTAGTGTGGGATCTTCTCCCCACTCCTCCCCCCCGCTAGCTGTCACAATTTTTAAAAACCATGGCCATGCGGGGCTCTGCAGCATTCTGTAAATGCCTTTAGGGCCGTCGCCTTGTAGTTCTCAATGAAGAGCGCTGTGGTAGTTCATGGAGTCTTCCTGCCAGTATCTGCTTGCCTGTACAAGCACACAGATACATGGACAAGTCTTCAGGAGACCTGCATGGCACCAGCGATCGGCTGATTGTTGGTGCAATGCTTTAGAGGCCCCAGAAACAAAAAATAATAAATGCACATTTTTTTTATCCTTTAAAAAAGACCTAAACCCTCTCATCCTTTACAATCAAGGCTTGCCTTAGCCAGTATTTAAACTGCAGTTGCCATGTGCTGCACGTGATCAGTTATGACACCAGCCATTCAATGGCTGGATAGTTCAGTTGAGAGCACAAGCAACTGTGACCGTTATCATTCCCGGCATGCCTTGACTTGTTTTGGGAAACCATTAAATTGACGGGTTTAGCTCTAATTTAGGCCCTGTTCACACTGGCATTGAAAGTAGGAGTTTGAGGTGCATTTTTATCATTCCTAAAACTCCTATACAATTAATAATATAGACAGCTGATCAAAATATGAAGCGTTGTGCTGCTTCACTTCAAAATTGAAGCTGAATGTTGAGTTTGAAGGGGTTGAAGCATTGCAAGTCCTTCCATTTAAGTCTATGGTAACATGGCACAAATGCGCCAGCATGCGTTTACGGAACGTTAATAACATTGCAGTAATAGTGGTTTTGTGGTGTAGTTTTAATGCGCCTTTAACCACTTGCCCTGCAGAGGATTCCCCCCCCCCTTCCTGACCAGGCCATTTTTTGCGTTACGGCGCTGCGTTACTTTATCTGACAATTGTGCGGTCATGCAACACTGCACCCAAATTAAATTTACGTCTTTTTTTTCCCACAAATAGATATTTCTTTTGGTGGTATTTGATAGCATAAGCGGTTTTTTTTTTTTTTGTGCAATAAAGAAAAAAAAAAAAAAAGACTGACAATTTTCAGAAAAAACTATATTTTTTACTTTTTGCTTTTAAACATATCCTGTAAAAAAAATTTTTAAACAAATTTCGTCATAAATTTAACCAAAACGTATTCTGCTACATGTCTTTTGATAAAAAAAAAATCCCAATACATGTAAATTAATTGGTTTAAGTGAAAGTTAGTGTTTACAAATGGCGGTATATATACAGGGATTTTCTTTTTTCACTAGTAATGGCGGCGATCAGCGACTTATAGCAGGACTGCAGTGGGCATTCTGACACTGGGGGAAACTGACTTGGTGTCACCAACACAGTGATCAGTGCTAATAAAAAGCACTGACACTGTACTAATGGCACTGGGGGGGAAGGGGTTAACATCTGGGGCAATCAAAGGGTAAACTGCGTGCTGTTTGTAACTGTGTGGATGTGTTTGTGCTTCACTGTAAGCACACTACTTTGCATGGCTGTGCTATGCAGAGCCATGCAAAGCAGAGTGCAGGAGCTAACAGGAGAGAGAATTGTTTGTTTACAAACAGTTTTCCTCCATTGGAGATGTTTGGCAATCACTGGGCATTGGCGAGTAATCGCCGTCCTGGACCCAGTGATTGACAGCCGAGGCCATGCTCATGTGCGCCCCCTACCCAGAAACGCAAAATCACGTATACATACGTGATTTTGCGCACCTGTGTTACCCTGTAGCAGTACTTCTGCTATAGGGTGGACAGGAAGCGGTTAATGCATGCCGCATATGGCGTTTGGAGGAGCCTTTTTAACGCTCATTAAACGCCCCTTTT